AAGTGAGATACAGCCTACAGAAGATACCACAAAATCACTCATTTATGCATAATTTTACTAACTTCCCGCAATTATATTCAATGTTCAATTCAAGTTTACAATAATTTCTTAACATCGCAGAGAAAAACTGATAGTAGAAAAATTGTTGTGTTTCCTCTCTAGTTTCAGAAAATATCAATTATTTTGTTGTATCCCAGTTATTTACAAAACGCCAACAGTTAAATCACTGTGATGCTGAAAATGCGTCAAAAGGCGCACTTGGCCGTTATGGGGATAAGATAGATTTTATAGATGGTCATATCACCATGTTTACTCTGTTTCCTAAATAACAGGTTAAGCTTTAAGGGCCTATTAATTGATATATCTATTACCTTGATTGGCAACCCCTGGCAACAGTAAATGTTAAAAGCATAGTTTTGTTCTCATAATAGCAAAATCTAAAAGATAATTTGATTAATTAATAAAATTTGAAATTATTAAATAGCAATGAAAAGTATAAGATTTATAGTTGACTTACATTTACCTTACACTCTACATGTATGTAATAATATCATTAATGTCATATATATACAGTTTTCTCATACATTATAGCTTTTCACACACATGTAAAACACCTTTCTTAATGTATATGTAACATGTATATGTGTAATGTGAGTTTTATAATACAAGTTAACTGTACGTGAAATTTATTCTTTATCAACGTTCATTAACGTACGTGTTACACGTGGTTGACTATACGTATGTTAACCGTGCGTTCATTAACATACGTGTAACATGTGATTGACAATACACGTGTTAAGGTAATTCCACCCTCCTATAATGTCATAGGTTTTTGCAAAAACTGCAATTAGTTTAAATGCATACCTTATAGAACAATATCTCTTGGAAAATAAATATTGTTAAGTTACAGAATTTTAAAAATGCATATTTTCTATATAACTAATTCTTCAGTACTGAGTTCAGATGTGTGACCAAAGGGTTATTTTTCAAAAATAATCAGTTTCATAATTTATGTATATTAATTGAGTCAGTACCCTTCCTGCTTCTGAAAAAAATTGATGGGAAGATAATCTGAAGTCTTAAAGAGGAGATAGGTGTCCAAATGTACAAGCATGTCTGAAATTTTATGTACGTAACTTGGTGTCCACAGTGACTGTTTTTTAAATCAATAAGCTATTCTTTTCTGGTGAATCCTTTTTGAAGTATATAAACACTAGTTTGCATGTTTTATTGCATGACTTATTTCTGCCTTATTCCATTATAATTAGAAAATATATCCAAGATTACCAATGGACACCGTTACTTACATAAGCACTAAAAAAGTAACATGTTACTAGAATTTAACAAGTTGTTAAAATATGAAAATAATGTAATCAAAAAGGTATGATGAAATCATGTTTAATTTTTTATTAAATGGAATTTATTTAAAAAGTCACAATTTTTATTTCTAGTTTCAAAAAAGGAGAAATTATGTAAGTAACATGGACACCTAACTCCGAATCAGGCTTTAAAAACGAACAAAAAAAATAACAAGACAATCGAAGACTTGTCTTTAATACTTTTAATATTTCATTTCAAAGCTTAATAATAGACTAGTTTTCAAAGAGAATTAATGCAGACAAGTAAATTGTCAGATGGATTGCTAAATATCCTGGGTCTTCTATTTTGAGTCTTGGATCTTTGTGTCATTGTTACGAACATAATTCAGTCATTTCTTGTAAATCTGAAAGAAAACAATATATAAAAAACAAAATATAACATGATGTAATCAACACATATGCTGTTTAATTATATTCATTATATATCCTTGATAAAACCAGAAAGAAGGCAATTAAAGTACAAATTATGTCACTATTTCAAGTTTTCGTGTCTCTGTTATGAACGTAATTGCGTAAATGATATGGCAATATTAAAACAAATATTCAAAAAGTATTCATCCTTTGATAAGAGCAGAACAAAACTAACAAATATAGAATAAAATATAGTACAATATAACTTTATCATTAATAGATTATACAAATAATGCAAAAACACATGTTCGTAACAAAAGACGCGAATCAAAAGTCAAATGTTAAACCAAAAGTACTCGACTCGGACAAATTTATGCATTTTGTATGGTCATAAGCAACATATTTCAGTTTCTGATTAATGGCTACATGGTATAGAGATACAATGACTGTATTTATGTGTTAAAAATTCACTAAAATTGATACAATATGAAAATACTTACCGAATCTATTATGTACGTAACTTCTGTCTTCCACGTGGACACAATGAGCATCGCCATGTTTTTTTGCAGACAGCTGCGCAACCTTTCTACTTTCGTTTTCAATTTATAATTATATCACTGCTACGGACTTCCTGAGCCAAACTTATGATTCATTGGCTGTTATTTTAGCAATCATACTGAAAGCTATTATGTTCGTAACGGTCAAGACACCAAACATTTTACAATCAGAGATCATTTTAAAATTACAAAAAGAACTGAGTTATGTTCATGAAGCATATTGTTAAAAATAATTTATCATACATACTCATTAATTAAACACAGAAATTGAACTTGACAAATTATTTAATGTTTGTAGAGAGGTGTTAAAAAGTTCAATGCATATGGACACCATGCGTTACGAACATAAACCACAAATTTTTAAGTTCAGAAAAAAATAATTAGGATAATTTTAGCATGTTTGACAAAATAAATATATTATTTCATTTATATGCTAAGATAATGTACACATATATCATGCCAAATGGTTTTATTTTTAAATAAAACAACATCTTTATGCCTATTCGAAAATTATGTCACATTTTCTGCAATTGAAATCCCGTAAATGCAATACAACAATGATCAATATTTTTTTATTCCTCAACTCATATCCATAAAACTATTTATACTATATCCTTACACAAGTATCCAATCATATCAATATCAATCTATCTGCTTCCACTTTATTTATTGGAAAATAAAGGAGAAAAGAAATATATTTTAAAAATTCACCAGTATTGAAGAATGAGTTATATTTATTCAATTATTCAATCTTTAAAAATGTAGACAAGGGCAATAACTCCGTCTAAGATCTCTTCATTCAAAAATTTGCTTTATTGTAAACTAGTTACCCTGATATTCACAATTCGAAAGTATCTTTTCAGTAGGAAGTATTTAAGAACATTCAGCATCAGAATTATGCATTTAAACCAGTTTTAACATAATTTTCATAATACTGTTTACAAAAAAAAGTGCGATTTTTTAATGTTAAAATACACTTTTGTTTAATTATGTTTCGCATCTCATATAATATGGTGACTTATACATTTTTTTGCAATAATTGGAAAATTTAGAGTATGTTTAATGAAAATAAATGCAGTTTTTGTACTTTGAACCTATAAAATTGTAAGAGTGGAAACACCTTAACCATAGATTTATAAACGTATGTATAACGTATGTTTGCACATAACATATGTGAAACTCACGTAACACATACGTGTATTCCAAACGTACGTTTCACGTACCTTGTGTAAAACGTATGTCGTCACACGCATGTTATACGCCCATTGTGCCAAGTACCTGAAACATGTGTTTGTAATACACGTATGTGTTACATAGGATTCAGGTACATGTAACATATGTTATGTGCAACCATACTTTAAACTTACGTGGTACAATTAGCTGTGTAGGTTAGATATATATTTGTTTTCTTGTGTTTGGCCGATAGACAGGAGATGCTTACTCCTCCGTGGCACCTGATCTCACCTCTGGTATTATTTAGAGGCCTGGGCGTATACTCCTGGAGTGTTTTTTCTTTATTGACTTTTTAGATTGATTACTGTTCTTTTTCTTCATACTTCACTTCATTATTATTGCAAAATATGGTTAATGAAGTACAATTTGATCAATTTCCTAGAAAATAGTGCCTGATCCCACTTGATCTCACCTCTGATGTTTCGGGGGTCCGTGTTTGCTCTGCTCTTATTCTGTATCGTTTTATGTATTTTGAGATTAAATTCTGTTCGTTATCTCCATATTCTTTTTGCCATATCTTACAAAATATTTATTGAGCAATTTTCCCCTTACACACACATATAATTGATTTTACATGGATAACTAAATGCTTACCTGCTATTTTCTTGATCATCATTTCACCTCACCGGGATAATGTTAAAAATTCCATTAATTCAGCTTATTTTCTCAGCGACAAAAGAATTCATACAAAACTATTTGAAATATCGGAACATTAATTCTAAATAATGTGTATTTTATGCTAATAAAAACCATTTCTGTTCGAAAAACTGTGAATTATTCATATTGGTGTTTTATCATCAATGACACGAAGGTTGTCACAAAATGTCCCTGATAGATTGAAACGGTGCTTCCCATTTAAGATAAATAATTCTTACTTATACACCTTACAACAAATAAATGTATGTATATCACTCGTCTTATAAACTGATGAAATGTCATTAATTACTCCTAAGTAATTAGTTCCTAATACATTGATAATTTGTTGCATTCCCTCAAATAAAGATGAAGTTGTCTGTTTAGTGGTTACTTCTTAATTTTCCTCGTCTAACGACATTTTTTTTCCAAAAAGTTGTCTTCTAAATTATATGTATGAAAAAAATGTTGAAAACAATATTACTACTCAAGTGATTTGAAGCCATTTAATTAATTCAACACACCTTTTTTTCCGTTATCAGTGACATACGCATCCAATCAGATAGGGACTGATAAAGAATTCAATTTAAAAAGTAACTTAAATAGTGTAAATTTGATATCAACTATCAAAATCTTTAAGAGATGAAATAAAAATGATGTATAGCTACAATTACAGGGGGTTGTTCTGGACCTTGTTTGTTTTTTCATTTAGGCTTTCCGAATCAATGTCGAATATATTGCTCAACTTAATAAGAACAACGGTTTTATTAGAGAAAATCTTTTGGCAGAGTATGACGCATATTCAGTAACTACGTGTGCAGTCATGTTGGTCCAGGGTGTACGTATTTTGGCGTCAATTTGCACGCTAATAAATGTCGAATTTACTCAGGATGTCATCCGGGTAACTTAACAGAAGTTCAGGTAGGATGTAGGTACTTCAGTCCGGAATCTGAAGGTATTTTATTTAAGGACATTGGCAACGTTTCTGGTTTTCGTATAGAATTTTTCAAGATTTTTTGAACAGGTTTAATGGTACCAAACATGTTCAATTCAGGTTCCTTTTACCAATCAAGCCAGCCTTCCTTTAACGATTTTGTCAAATCAATGTTTTTACAATTTTCAATGCATTTCCTATGTAAAATGTTGATAAAACGGGCCTATATTATTTTTAACCATACGTTTTCTCTAAAACCCATTTATTTCATAAGGTTTATACATAAAACACATTGTTGAAACCTTATTTCCGATGGCATGCATATAATTTGGCTGAAAATGCGAATATTGAACCAAAACACAGAAATACCAGCACTGTTCTTTAATTTTGAGTTACTTCCCTTTACTGTAATTACATCTAATCAATATTTATAATGTTCAAGAGAGTGGTTGTTTGTTTCTATTCTATAATTTATTTAATTGGAAACGAACCATCAGAAAACATTTTTTCAAGGATTTATAGTAACTTTTTAATGGTGCATCATTCACATAACCTATGGAATCATTCTTTCGGTCCACCTAGCTATCAACACTTTCAGCATAATTATTTCACACCTTTGCGCTTCCCAGCAATCATTTACCTATTCTAAATGACGACTTGTTAACTGTCTGCCCCCTCAACACAATATAAACAAACCCATCGCTGCTTTTCTTTTATTACTGCAGAGTTGAATATATCCGATAAAAAAACACACATGCTTTTGCTTACCTCTCAGTCTGTTACATATGCTTTCTTTGTTTTCAGCGCCTAGAGAATTCCATACGGGAGATCACTCTCAATGACTTTTTTTCATAAGTAAAGAAACCTGGGTATAAACCTTTTTTCTCCGGAAATCCTTCGATGCCAATGACCTTAAATAATAATAAACGTAACGAACATAACGACCTCTGCTAAAAGTAATTTATTGCGGCTACTGAATAATATTAAACGTTTAATGTAAATAAGATATGATAAAAGAAAGTAAAGAAGAGAAAAGTAACTGACCACTATGCATTAGGACTATAGAAAATTCACAATGGAGAATAATTTTACTGAAAACAGAGATTTTTTTTAAATGTTTTTTTTCTGGAGATTTAAGGACAGATGATACAACCAATTTTTTCCTTGGTTAAAGATTAAATATCACGTCACAAATTTAGAAAAGTGGATAGTTCTTAGAATTTTTTCTCCAAGGAACTGGAATATGAAAAATACTTCGAAAATATTAGTAATATTTTAATGAAAAAACCAATATAGAAAAAGCTAAATGGTAAAAGTCAACCTATGTGATATTGCCAATTTTTTGTCATTTCGATCTTCCTCTTAAAATTCACCTGGCTTGGAATATTTTTTCCAAGGTTTATATTACACTTTTAGCGCCAGGATAACATATTATGAAATTTATTTTCACCTGTGAACCTTTACTGAATGTGATTTGTCAATATGCGTCATTCCTGTGAAAAAATATTTATATTTCAAGAATGTTTGATTTAACTCCATTTCTTTTATAATTCTAGGGAATAAACGTCCACTGAATTGTAAAACATTGCTCGCTGATGTTCATACTTTGTCTAATGTTTACACTATTTATCCCTGTAACAACTAATGCTCTGTCGTCTTGTCTGATATGATTACCAAGGGTGGAGGATGGACGGTCAGTTTAATTATTATTCAATCAATTAGTACATGGATTTATAACTATTTAATTTAATAACATTTATCATTCTTAATCAATCCAACAGGTTATACAGAAGCGTGTTGACGGTTCAACCGATTTCAACAGAACTTGGAATGAGTACAAGGAGGGATTTGGTTCAGTTAATTCATCTTATTGGTTGGGTATATCCATTTTGGTTTACTATTAAAGGAAAGTTGTATCTCTAGTTTAAGTATATATGATATTCAGTAGAGACATATACTTTGATCGTTTCGACATTTTTTACATATAATTATACAAAATGTGCATGTCCATGGCTGTCTTTTATAAATCAGTTATTTCTTGTTCCTCTTATTGGTTTGACTTAATCAATATTACTATAACATTTTTAGGAAATGACGTCATTCATCTGTTAACCAAACACAAACCGTCTCTGTACGTGTCCATAACTCTGACCAATGGAACCACGCTATATCAACAGTACGAGGAATTCTCCATAACCGACGAGACAGACAACTACAGACTTTACCTGAATGGACCGACCACAGGAACACTAGGTGAGATGTCGGTCTAATAGCTCACCTGAGTCGAAGGATCAATTGAGCTTTTCTGATCAAACAGTTTCTGGCGTCTGTTGTCTGTAAACGTTTGTTCTTCATATGAGCCAATTTCAACCAACTTGCCACAAAATATCCTCGGATAAGGGGATTAAAGTTTGTTCACAAGAAGTTCAGTGCATTTTTTCAAGGGAAATAATTTGTGACAATTTGGCTGCATCACTGAAAATTCTTCTCAAAACAATTTAGAAAGAAAAGCATGCTAAATGCTTTATATTGAAATTTGTTCATATCATAACCCATGAGGTAGGGCGGAATAACAAGGAGAGGGCGAAGTTTTTTTTAGAAATATAAGGAAAATGCTTTGAAATATGTTGTTAAAAAGAACAGCAAAACTTAAATTTCTCTTATTATAGAAGATGTATCCTCATGTAATGAAGATTCCAATTTGTTCAAATTATGATGAATAGTGTCACAAAAAGTCAAAAAGATTTTGCATCGTAATTTATAGGAAAAAAATCTTTTAAAATTCTTCCGTTTAAGAATAGCAAAGTCATCATTAGTAATATTGGTATGGAGGCAGTCTTAGGCAGTAAGTTTTTTAGTTTGCCGACACCTACTACTTCAAATCTGTACTGATTTCTGCTACTTCCCAGCCAATGTGCATAAATGAGCAATGTTGCAATGAACAATTTTACGCGATCATGTGACTGTGTGATGCGATTTCTCGAATCTCGACACTTTGATTTTCTGAATCCACTCCCTGCAACCGATGACGTACTTGTAGTACACGGTATACACGACGTTTTTTTTTATGCACGTATTAAATGTTCATTGAAAAAATATTCTGTTTAATGCATAAAAGAAATTTAATTGCTATTTTCTCATTGAAGAGGGGTATATAATGAATTTGCCTTTATAATATTTGCTATTTTGAAGGAACCTTGGGTAAGAATTTCTGTTTATAACAGTTTTAAGAGTAACAGGCTTTATATGACTGAACAGTTTGCTGACCATGGGAAAATATACATCAAATATTGGTCTTACCCTATCTTGTCCTTTAGCACTCTTCAAAAACTGCCATGGTTCACAGATGTAAGAGCCGTTTGTGACGACAAATGACGTTAAATGACGTTGCAAAGTTAAATTATGCAAAAAAACATTGCGAGGAAAAAATTGACAAATAAATTCTTAACGCACATTACGTTAATTTTTAGGTTTTTTTTAGGGTTATAGTTTTTCATTAAATTGAAAAAAAATATTTTACATTTTTGTGTTCCTATATTATTGAAAATGCATATAGTTCCTACTGTGTATTGTAAAGCGCAGTGACAAGGTTTCGCGTGTGTTATAGAATTTGAACGTCGTGGATTTCTAATTGATTTTATAACAAAGAATATACATTGGTATTAATAACCTATTTAACACCTGTAAATAACATTCTGTTTAATATTAAAACACATTTTTCATTGTTAAAAAATTCCTCAATCTATCTCTCAAAGCACATGAATTATGTCATTTTTACCAAAATGACGTCATGATTGACAGGTTCATTGAAATTAGTGATCTGTTTATAACCAGTCGTATGGGATTTAACTAGAAACTTTTTTAAATGCATTGTTAAGTTGTATTGTTGTTTATTACGCCAATGCGATTTAAACTTTGAAATTAATTCATTTTCTGGTATTATGAGGAGCATGTAAAAGTCACAGAAAACTTTTCCCGTTTAAATTAGGCCCTGCCTCCTTATTTCAACCTTAACAATGCTGCAAAGTTTCTTTTATTAAATCTCAACTTAAGAATACATAATAAGATGATACAGCCATGTAGTTACTATTTATGCTTTTTCTCCCTCGACTTTTTGGCCTGTGTTAGCAATATTAAATATATGTAATCTTTATTTCGATGAAAAAGTGTGATATTCTACCTCATCTAACATTGGGCTTAAAATGAGTGTGAATGCTTTGCAGGAATGCTGAATTTTCTAAAAATCTTAATTTGACCCGGGTTCAGTATTCTGCAGAGTTTATGATTCTGGAACCTAATTCACCTAAGATTTTCCAGTGGTCCTTTTTTTTGGCTGAATTAACAATATTTTTTCAATACTTGATTAATGTGATGGGTTACTGTATGGTTTCTTATTTTCTGCATTATTTCTATAACTGCTTCAATCTAACTGACAGCTCCATTTAAAACAAAATACTTATAAAACTCCAACCTAAAAATAATAGTTGCCAAACTTACATTGGTATATGAGTCTTAATTTTGTATATGTATTCACTGTTAAACTAAATGTACATGCATATGTTGTTTTGAATAGTGCAATTTAATTTTAGATAAATCTTACATTCTTTCCAGTTTTCCTAATCCTTCATGAATAAAAAAAAATAAATTCGTTAAATCATATTTAATAAAAAAAGTTCCTTGCCTAAATAAATAATAACAAGGGCTGTTTTAGCCTCCTCGTATTTTCATGAAGTTTTTTATGCATTTTCTTTGTGTCAAAAATGTAAATCATTTCATATTCAAAGAGAAATAACTCTACATATATTTTTCATCTTATTGACTGAGTGATAGAATGCATTTCATAAAAAGGTCATTATTTTTTTCTATAAATAATTCTTTTTTCGTAACTTTCAATTAATTATCTTAAGTTTTTGAGAGAGAAGATAGAAAATGGTTGTCATATTTTACGACATATTTAGATTAAACATGAAGTAATATTTGTACGAAAAAATGTGTATTATGACAAATATTGAGCACATGAAAAGGATGATGATAGGCCTATCATTAATATCTAACATTTACAGATACAACGTTCTGGTGATCATCTTAGGCAAAAAATTTACTCTGTGTACAGAAGTGTTTCAATCTTAATATTTGCTGTTTACAATTGTGATTTTATTTATTATAAATTACAATACACTCATACAAAATAAGATTTATTTATTTTTCATGGCGTCATTTAAAACAACTTCTTATTAATAACATATCTATCAAGTTATTAGATAAAAAAAAATTTAAAAAAAGTAATTATTCTGTCTGAACTGTTTTATGACAAATATTCCAATTAAGAAATGCTTTTAGATAAAACGTTTTGAAAATCATTGTTATTTAGATCACACAAATTTTCAGGTAAGCAAATTTGTAATGAAGTGCTATATATAGCTTTTCATGAAATATCCCTGTGTGACATTTCGACATACTGACATACTGACATACTGACATTTGCCTATGTGAGAAGTCTGTTTGATGAACAAGAACAGTTTACAGAAAACTTAAAAACAATCATTATTATTTTTTACATTGTACATGTCTAAAAAGCAGCAAAATACACCCAATGTTTGAATTTCTTAGTGCCCTATCTTGTTTCATTTTTCAAATGTCTTTGTAGCCTCAGTGTGATGTAACGCTGGTGCTGTTTCTCCATGTATTTTCTACGCGTGAGCATACAAATCAAGTCCAAATCCATACGCGTGAGCATACAAATCAAGAACACACAATGGAGTGTGTAAGATCTTAACACTATCATCGGTATCAATTAATGATGAATAAAACTTGTTGTTGCGTCCTGGAGAAATTATTATCATTGATTGAAAAAAGACTTTTTATTCTGAAAAAAATGTGAATCGATATATTAAGGCATAAACATCTTTTATTGACATTAAGATACTTTTCTGCGGTCAACAAAAGTGATATAAAACGTTTAAAATCTTTAGAATAATTATATTTTTGCATTGTTTCGAAATTGTAAATTTGCAGAAATGACATTTCCCCTTTGCATATGAACAAAAGCACAAATTTTATCGATTGTTAACTTCTTAAAGCATTTTGATTAATTAGTGTAAAAACCATTCTAGACGAGAAAGTATTAATCCTAATTCATACAAGCAATATATGACAAATTTTAATGTTTTCGAGTATGATATAGTTTTTTCTTAGCCTTTTTCCGCAAAAGTTGATCTCAACTATTCTTTTGCGTTCCGTGCCAATGTTTTGACATTTAACGACGATGAAACTCAATTTTGATAATTTGACACGTATGGCGTATTAGAATTGGAATCCTTACGACGAGAGTTAAACTGCAGTTGACCCTATTTTTTGTCTCTCTTTGACATCATTACGACGGTAGGTGATGCTGGGTGACTTGGAGGAACTTTACACACTGTACAGGAGAAGACGGACTATAACTCCGCTTCATTTATGAGGATCCGCCGTTTAATTTCTACGTAATGATTTATTGTCTTTAAATGAAGATAAAAATTTTTGTCATTTGATTAAACAAAATATGTGCAAAATTCAAAGGAATTTTTTAAATTTTTTATTTTATATTCGTCTTTTCGGGTGAGATTTATCCTCAAGTTTTTGAATAAACTATCGATAACATAGGGCCATAAATTATGGATAGAAAGAATGTTCATTACCAGTAAATTATGGATAGAAAGAATGTTTTTTACCAGTATATTATGGATAAAAAGAATGTTCATTACCAGTATATTATGGATAGAAAGAATGGTCATTACCAGTATATTGTGGCTCTGGTCATTACCAGTATATTGTGGCTCTGGTCATTACCAGTATATTGTGGCCCTTCGTTTTCTTCTTTGGGTAACTTTCACTCGAAAATCTTAATTTTTAGCAGATGTATAAACTGTAGATCATTTATTTTTCGCGACACCTTATTTTAGCGATAAAGTCATTGACTCTTTATTAGAGAAACAAAATTTTCACAAATTGTGGTTAGTACTCTATATAATCTTATGAAATTCTATTGTACGCGAGAATCAAATTTTCGCGAGTATACCATCTCGCGTAATTACGCGAAAGTAAAGTTCTCGCGAATAAAAAGTCGACAAATAAGTCGAAAAAAGTGCTTTCAATTTGAATATTTATTTTGTACTGTTGGTATGTTGGTTCGTTTGTGAGTTTATCTGTTTTGTCTATTAGTCTGTAAAAAATGAACGTTGGCATAACTTTTTATTCGTTTTAAATATGGAATT